GCCTGCACTATGGTCAACTCTGCCATGGAAGACAGTTCAGAGCGTGACTCTGAACTGCCCGTTTTTGAGATCAAAAGGTAAGTTACTGTTACACTAATTGTTTTCTTTTTCATTTTCGGGTCTTTTCTAATTTCCTGAGCAAACTGGGTCCTTTAAAATCTGCGATTTGTTTTTGACGACTTTAAAGGAGAGAGGCTACCACATGCTCAACGCAAGAGAGAGATGGGACGTAAAAGATATGCTTCTTGACTTGATATCACAAACCCTCAGTATTTTTCTTCTGGTTTTGTGTGAATCGGTCTTGTTTGTTGTTTTTATCTGCTGGGTAGATTATGCTCTGGAAGGTTCTGTATTTATACTGAGCAAATGTGATTTTAGCCGCATGTTTCACACTGAGAGGTCATGACATTCATATCGATTCGTTCTTTCAACGAAACCGCCGCCTGGTTAGCTCAGTTGGCAGGGCGCCGGTCTGCTGGGTCGGAGGTCGCGGGTTCAAACTTCGGCCGGACCAACACTCAGAAGAAAGTGCTGCCTTTGTAATGACATGCAAACGGTTACACTTTCTAGTCTTCTCGGATAAGGACAAAAAGCCGTAGGTCCCTCTCACAGTACTGTCACTTATCTGGTTCTTGTGGGACGTAAAAGAACCTACACCACTGTTCGAAAAGAGTAAGGGACGTTATAGACCCTAGTGGTGTGGTCAACCTTTCCTGGGCTGTGTGGGTTATCTGTAAGGAGAGATCTTAATATAACGATAACCTCATGATCCTCCTTCAGGTGTCGTAATGGCTACCTGTAAACAATAGGGAGCTTTAGCATCGGCGACGGCAACGACAGCGAAAATGTCAGTTTTCAAATGAATTCCCCTTTTTTTCAATCTTTGTCGCGTTTATTCCAATTTGCTGAAAATGGCAAGTGGAGGCGAATTTCTCTGGAGTTGATTTCTTGAGAACCGCACTCAAGTTTTTGCCGTCGCCGTCGTCGTTGCTAAAGCTTCCTAATGTATGAATGTATGTAACGAATAAAAATGGGTGAGCTGGTGTAGACATTGTTAAAATCTTTATAAAGTCTTGTTAAGAAGCAGTTTTATGTTTGGTTGCTGCGTCCCAGATACACGAGGGCGGTCCAAATAAACCGAATATCATATATTTTCGATTCCGAATTCTGTCTGTCACGAGTTTTCAGTTGTTCGATACAGACGTTCAAAAAATTCGTTAAGGATATGTTTTGGAAACTATCTTGTTTGGAGAAAAAATTAAAACAAAAACAAATGAAACAGAAATAATATTAGTCTTCATTAATGCGTTACACTAGGAACAATTTTTCTGCGGGATTTTGACTTTTAGGATGCTTTAAGATTAGGCGATTTTGTTTTTTGCACCTTTCAGGAAATAACTTTCGCGATTAATCACGTTTTATCAAGTCTGTTTTTTCTTTTCAATCGGCAGTATATTTTACAGTTTTAAAATTGGAATTCATAATTCGTGCACTTACAATATCCCAAAAGGTAGAACTTGTAAGAAATAAATTCACACGATAGCCGGAGTTGATTGGCATCTGCCAAATCGGAAACTTACGTACTTACGTTCCGCCTTTTTGCTTTTTGATGCTGCAATTTGGTACGAATTAGTTTATGGATAATTAATCCATACAAATTAACTATATGCTTCTCACTTAAAATAAAAAAAAAAAACTAACTAACTAACAATATGACTCTCGCCATAAGCTTGAGCTACCTGTTTTTAAAGTTACGTACATACAGTAAGTTAAACCTTATTCCTCCTTTTATTTAAAAACCAAAACCAAAATAACTAAAGCTACTCTCACCATATTAACCTTGAACTGCCTGTTTCCATACATATCTACAGTGGTAACCTGAGATCAGGCCCAATTTTAGCGGTTCTCATACATTCTTTTCTAACGGCTACCGCTAAAAATCAGACTCTCTTTTCGTTTCGCCTTGCCCGCCGGAATGTTATTTACAAACCGAAACGAAAAGAGAGCCTGATCTCAGGTTGGTACGGAGGTTCAACCATGTACCTTTTTATTCCAAAAACAAAATCAAACAAAGTTTTGAAGAACTATATTTCACATTCTTACCTTTGATAGAGGCGGGCATCTTTTCAATAAAAAGCTGAAGTTCATTTGGATCAGCATCTTTTAGTTGAACAGGGTTTCTTCCAAGCAGCCCACTAATTGTAACTGTATCCTTGGTGACCTTCATTGTAGTTTCAGGCAGAAAGCAAAACTGAAACGGTAAGGAAATATAATGATACAATTTAAGTTATACTGACTATAGCGGCAGTTTCTGACAACTAAACACAACTATTCACAGCTTATTTCACTCGGATCTCACTTGCTACAGGATTAAACAGTTATGCCTTCAGTTACAGCAAAATGAGTTCAATATGTTCTGCTCAAAATCATTTGTCAAGACCGCTCTTATTTACATTTTCGTTACTCTTTTTCCCACAACTTGTATTTCTTGTTCTACGATTGGTAAATTTTCGGTCCTCAACTTAGGGGCTGTTTACATGGAGAGAGGAAGATCCTAGTACCAGGAAGATCCTAGAAGGCGGATCATTCTAGCGCCATATGTTTCCTGTATTCAGTTTACATGCAAAGGGTTGTAATTGTCCCTAGCGCTAGGATCTTTCTAGTACGAGGATCTTCCTACCTCTCAGCTAGGAAGATCCAAGTACTAGGAAGATCCTAGCACCATATAAACTGCTTTCGCTAGGAAGATCCTAGTACTAGGGACAAACGCGACAAAAATGTCGGCGGGTCGTTTAGTTCATTGGCTAATTACGTACATAAAGGCCGACCATTTCGTTTGGAGTAATTCACGAGCAGATTATTGTATTAATGCAGCTGAAAGGTAGTGATTTACGCCAGTAAAGAGAGCAGAAGGACCCAAATTGCATTTTTGATTTTGTCGTCCGCCATTTTTAATTCCTTCTCTAACCTTCTCTACTTGGACAACTCACGGGCCGAAATTTCTGCATGTAAACCCAACGTAAAGTTATTCCACCTTCTAGGATCTTCCTGGTACTAGGATCTTCCTCCCTCCATGTAAACAGCCCCATAATGTACTGTAATCTATCAGTATTAAAATTACCCACGATCCTTGTTTGCTCCTTAATTTATGACCCGCCGTATACATCTCACGCCTTTTTACCCATTTCTCGCTATTTTTCCCAGCTCTAGGTCCAGAATCTCACATTTTTTTTTTTGCCTTTTGGGGGTTGTTGAGTCTGTAAAAGACCACTAAACGCCTTACACAGTGTATCCTTTTGCATGGTATGGCACATCTTGTCAAAGGGACAGTTTAATAGAGGTAATAAAAGACAATAACAAATTACTCATTGGGTCCTCGAAACAGGTGACCACGGCTACTCAATAGGAGTAACTGCTAAATAGCGATCAGTTTTTACAATAATTAGGGGAAGCTATTTGAAGAACTTTGACTTGTTTGACTATAAAGGCAGTTACAGTAGTCACCCGCTAATAAGAACCTGTGGATTAAGAACCTCCTGGCAGAAATTTGCCACTTTAATACCCAAAAATACAAGAATCTGTTTAGCCAAGCAAAATCAAACAGGTTCTTATATGTGGGTTACAGTTAAATTATGATAACAATTTAACAAAGGAGTGTACCTTTGAGTTGTAAATTGTAGTACAAGAAAAACATACGGTACTAAACTATATAGATCTATAGATATAAATTCGGTAATCAGTTTTGTTAGGGTTATAATAACACAATTGTGAATAAATAAATAAATTTATTTGTTTTTCTCCTAATCAACAATCTACTGTCTCCTTCATAAAAATTAAGAACCTAATTAAGAACCTACACAGTCTAAATTTGCCAATAAGTACCTCACAATACATTAGAACCTATTTTTTGCCAGACTTAAAACTATAAGGTTCTAATTAGCATGTGCTTACTTAAATACCGTAAAACTAGGGTATCTAAAAGATAGTAATGCTGCGGCACATTCTGTTAATGCCGATATTAGTTAGTCAGTGATCCACCTGCTTGCGTGTTAACGGTCCTTTATTTCTGAAAATAGTTTCAAGTTGTGTGGTGTTTACACTCCCACTCCCTAGGCAAAAACAAATTCACATATTTGGAAGTATGAAGGTAAATTATAATCGTAGTAGGTCGAAGTTGACAAATGTTATTCAGTGTGAACATTTAATCAGTTTAGGGAGTGTTATTTTCACCAACATTGAGTTCAGATATAGGTGTATTGGATATTTAGCCTTTTTTTAAGGGGGTGGGTGGGGAAGCCTTTTTTAGGGGGAGTGTGGGTATTGTTATTGCCAATCATCATTTGCAGTGGCATGCTTTTATACCAGATATTGATGCCTTTTAGAATGATCTTACTTTACCTGTGAAATAGGTAGTAGAATATTACGTCCTATTAATTCATTGTGTTCTTTTGTTTACTTGTAGGTTTTTTTTCACTAGTTGTTATTTTCTGTTTCACAGGTCAAGTAAAATCACTCTTTTTGAAATTACAAACATAAATAGTATATCAGAAAGCAGTCTTTGGGTGTCACTTGTACCAAGAACAACAACGTATTTTAATAACAATGGTTACAAATATTTTGACAATTAGTGGGAAAAACTGGTCAAAAAGATTTTCAAAGAAATTAATGTAATACAACTTTTAAGTAAAACTCAATGGCAATGGGTTTTTGTGTGGAATTTCCTCCTATCATTTACCAAAGTAATAATGTGTATTCGTCAATAAAACCAATAATTAGTAATCAGCAGTTCCCAGGTGGTACTACTGACAAATGTAACATGTTTTAATTGAAATGGTTACAAAAATTCTTAAAATTAGAGTAAAATTTTAGGGAAAATATACTGCCAACGACGCAAATATAGGTATGTAGAACTTTGAACTAAACGAAAACGACATTGAATGATCTATTTACATGTTGGAAAGTTACTGTCAGTCTCTCTGCAAAGAGCATTTTTCATGATTTTACACTGATGCGATTACTTCTTTGGCACTTTTGTCTTTGAATACAACAGTTGCTTCAACAGTAAGAATGAGTTCAGTAATGTCATCATCATTGAGGTCTGGAAATTCTTTCTCGAAGTCTGGATCCTGTGCTCTTTTGATGGCATACAGTTGTTTAATAATATCGTCAAATATGTTTAAGGACATTGTGTCTTTGGCAGTGATTGTTAAAATACTTGCCATAACTTTATTACGACATTTGGTCTTCAGTTGTGTTAGGCCACACTCGGAGCATTTTATTATTTTCTTGTCACTGTCTATGACCTTTGAGTGACATTTGTTGCAGCTTAGATATGACTGAACAAAGTTAATTCCGTCTGGTGGGAATCGCACTTGCACTTGTTGAATGTTGTCTGGAATTTCATCGTGTCGAGTTATATTCAGTTTGGTGGCTTCAGTTACATTGCTGTATTTGGTCAATGTTAAGTAGTTTGTTCCATTAAATTCTTTGATGGCAACATTTGCTAAATTGTAACATTGCCCAGATTTCATCTTTCTTGTGTCTTGTTCCCACAAGACCAGACGGAGAGAACCACTGTTATCTGTAAACATTGCTTCTTGTTTCATTAAAGTTTTTCCACGAACTTCCACAGTTTCAGGCGTGCCATTGAATAAGACACGGCCAGCAATGTTTACGAGGGTACTGTTTTGTTTGTCCTGAATTTCTTCTACTGAGCTGTCTACAGCTTCCACGGTTTCTTCTTGTATTTTCTGAACGTCGAAATCCATCTCATTTTCGTCAGGATCTTCAATTCTTGTTCTCTTGTTGAGAATCAGTTCCTCCTTTTCAGTCTTCAGGTTTTTCTTCAACTGGAATCTGTTTATTTTGACTGGTGATGAAGATTCGAGCTTGCGCTTGAGCACTGAATGCTTCTCTGGGGAGAAGCACACAGCACGATACACTTGAGAGTTTGTCTGGAAATTTAGCGAGAAATATTGATTCTTGTTTTGGCTTGTCTTTATAGGTGAGAGGTTATGTAAATAACCAACCATGCTTTGTCCTGAAATGGAAGGGCAAAATCATTAAGAGTGAGCTATTACTGATGAGATCAAAAGAATAGGAATTGTGGAAGTAGATAATATTGTGGCAATCTTTTAAGTGAATTGGATAGAGATACCACAAGTTGTATTGGGTTTTGATGGATTCCATAGGGTAATTTTAGTTGCTTAAGGATTTAAATATAACATGTTCTTATGTATGTTTATTTCAAGAGAGACTATTAACAATCTTCAGGTTGAAAAGCAATATTACTCAAGGTACTGCATATATTTGAGCTAAGACATGTGATCAGATGCTGCTGAAATTCAGGTAGGATAAAATTGTGGGTATGAGAAGTAGAAACGTTTTAACAGGTTCATTCAGAAAGTGTGTCCTAAGTATTACTGGATTGTTTATATTTCTACTATAAAATGAATGGTAAAAATGGCAAACAACTTACCACTTGGGTTATTCATACTTGTTTCACCTGAAAGGAAAATTGTTACTATGGTTACTTTTGATGTCACATACATTCAGTCATTTTTGTTTTTTGAAAAGGTTTTTAGTCCTTTCAAAAAGCTGATTCAATCTTTTTTCCTCCTGTTGTCTGTATTTCAAGGAGTTATTTTTTTTTATACTTTTAAGTCTGTCAAAAGTCATTGGCTCTACAACAAGTGAAGATATTTTTTTAACTCTACTTAAACCTACATATGTGATGCCCAATGTTTGTTCAGACTTTCCAATATTTACCCATGCTTTTGGTAAAGTTAATCCTTGGCTTTTGTGGATTGTTAGGGCCCATGCAAGCTTAAGTGGTAGCTGTTGTCTCTCATGAAATGAATTGCCATTTTTTGCAGAAACAGTCACAGGAGCTATAGCTACTAAAGAAGGAATTTCTGGAGATATTGAGGGGCCAATATAATTGTCAAAGTTAACAATAACAGCAACAGGCAAATCTGGAGGGTTATGGGGGGTGGTATAAATGATATCTACTACTGTTCCAGTTGCACCATTACAAAGACCAACAGATGGCCATAAGTTCATTGTAAGCATAACAAGGGCATTCTTTGAAATAAGTAGTGTTGGTTCTAACCCATACATATCCTGAGGAGAAACTTTGGCAGCTTGAGAACTTGAGTGTTTTGCCTCAATTTTTGCAATTGGTTGTTTGAGTTGTAAGAGTGAATTGTAATTAAAACTGGCTACTTCCTCATTGGTGTAAAATAATCGAGTGGCAGTTTTGAATTGATCAATGTTATTAGCTTCTGATGGTTGTCTAGTTAATAGCAGTTTCCAATCATTTTCAGATGTTTCTCCGTTACGCAATCGTAAAAGAAAATCCCTAAAAACAATTTGGTCTGGATCTGTTCCTTTGACTCTTTGATTAACAGTTAATGTAACTACATGGTTAAACATCATGTAAGCATAATAGCCCTGCTGTCCTATCTGATTAGATGGTTTTGCATGAAACAGTGGCTTGTCAGACACAGGAGGCAATTGAGCTGGATCTCCAATCAATATTATTGATTTTCCACCAAACAAATTTTCTTTTGCACCAGATGATTGTCTACATCGTTTGTCAATCCATCCAAGTGTTCTTTGCCCAAGCATTGAATACTCGTCAATAAGAATATAATCTGTACTTGAAAGTCTTTCCTGTAATTCTATTAGGCTTTCACCAGACAGGTCTTTCTCTGACTGCGGACAAGTTGGTAGTTTTAAAAGTGAATGAACAGTTACCCCTCTGATGTTGTATGCAGCTTTTCCTGTTGTGGCAGTGATAACACATTTCTGTTTAAGATAAGACTTCAAAGCTTTTATTAAATAGCTTTTCCCAGTTCCTGCAACACCATTTATAATAAGCAACAGAGCTTCTTTTTCAGAGTTGTCTTTTGAGTGCTTTGTAATTATGTCATATGCAAGCTTTTGCATTTCACTGAAAGATTCAACATTAATCACATCTGTAGGGGTCAGTGATGGTTGAAAATTTTCTTTTAATGTAACAATCCAAGAGGGCATTTCACCAATTTGTTGAGCAGTATATTTCATAGAGTCTATGGTCCAATCATAGTTCGAGTTTGGGAGCTCATTACTGAATTTCTGGCTTGACTTGTAAAACTCTGATAGAATCATCCATTCTTCCTGCTGATGTATTTCTTGATTATTACTGTTTTCATACTTTTGAAGCTCTATATTTTCTAAGACATCTGAAATCTTTTGAGACCAGTCTTGGACATGTTTTTTGGCATATGGTGTATTGAGGAAGTTGTGCCATTCAGTTATGAAGGTTTGATTGTTTGGCTCTGTGGTGCCCCATGCATCATCAAGAGAATTTTTCCATGGTTTAAACCTTAGAAGTTGGAATTTGCAATATAAACTGTAACATTTTCCTTTTGGATTGGAAGAGTATGTTGGGAACACATTCGGAATAATATTATCATTTCGCTGTTCAAGTTTGTTGTTAGCTAGTTTGTACTTTGTAGCGAATTCCATGAAATTTGTTTTCACTATGCCAGGAAACTTATTGCTAAAGCTATTACGGTTTGCATATACATCAAGAAAAGAATCACTTGTACAATTTCTATTGTCTGGATTTCCTGATTTTTGTAGTCTTCGAGAGCCATTTAAACTAAAAGATTTGACATGAAACGTGGTACTGTGTAATTTCAGTGAAAGCAGATGGTGCATAGTTTCTTGTGCACTAAAATCTCGCTCTCCTAAACTTTTTATCATAAGTTTCTTTATTACCTTCTTAGTGTCATTTTCAAAACCTGATGACTTGATAACAGTATTGAAAGTATCTTTTAGTTGCAATGAATTTGGTTCACCTTTTGCAGCATATTTTGCAAGATATTCCAGGCCTGGCGCACGCTACTGGTGTACACGGCTAAGAATCTCACATCGTTTGGCTCTTATGAACGTATTAAAACTCAGATCGCATCGATATTTGGCAAGAAGTTAAAGTTTATAAACAGCTTTTCATTGAATATTTTTTTTCTGGCTGTAAGACCAAAATAAAATTGAAATATGAAAAATATGGCTCAAAATGGGACCATTTTTTAACAGCTCGCGTAACATTTACAGTCTAACCACGCATATTGTGGGATTTCTCTGTTTCTGTTAACGGTACTTTGGAAAAATTTCTCCGAAGAGGTCAGTGACTTATGAGTACTAACTGTATTAAAAATTACTGAACATAATGGCAAAACAACAAAGTTTAGGGCGTTTTCAGAAAGATGTTCTGTCTACATACGATCTCTGTGCAGCGCGAACGTCAATTCAAAAGATTGCTTTTCATTGACTCTCTGTTGTTGTTAAGAGAAGAAATAATAATTTTTGGAATGCTCACAAGTTAAACCTTCCTTATAGACTAACTGCTAAGACTTCGGGAAACCCATTTTTACGCTAAGATCAAATATGTAAGGTTAGACAGCATTTTTTAACGTGAAAAATTCGTAAACCGTGCGTTGGACCGAAAATCGGATTCTAGAGTGTGCTTTGGCATAAAGATTTTGTGCCTAAAATGTGCCTAAGATGTGCATAAAGTGTGCATTTTAGTTTTGAAAAACGTGCCTAAGCCGTGCCTAAGTTGTGCCCAAACTGTGCCTAATCTGTGCACAAGTTGTGCCAAAATATTGAGTCACTCGGAAAATCGTGTCCAGCCTATCGAGCTCCACAGCGAACGAAAAGGGCGCACGGCAATTATGTCAGTTTTGAGGTTTACGAAGTCTAGAAACACGGTCTGACGACCTTTTTATCCGCTAATAAGAAATAACATGACTCAGAATACGGTTAGAGACAGAAGGGAAAGCCCCGACAAACAGGAAAATGGAATCTTAAACAGGTTAGCGTATTTAAAGTAAGTGCTCAGTTCAATTACATTGTTGATATGCTAATTTCATCCATGTTAAAAAATGTCCAAGCAGGTTTCTTCTCCCCTTCTTAACGGAGCGTTTAGTTGGAACAAACTATTTGTTTTTTTCAGGAGGGCAGATTTGCATTCAAAAAAAGAATTTACTTGTGATATGACTTATAAAATGAAAACGAAAAAATTGATTGCACGCCGATGACTTTTGAAATAAATGGCACGTCTCATCGATTATTATACGATCAAAGTTTAATTTGCTAACAGAGCCAGAAAACAAAAACAAACAAACTAAGTGTAAATCCTACTTTTTTAGTTAGAGAAATATTTTTAAAAAGCATCCGCATTTTGTATTTAAAAAACAACACGCGTTTGCATGAAGGTTTCAAATTACCACTTTGCACTTTTCATGTTGTTATGCAAATTCAGGCCAATTTTACCGCGATCGCAAAAAGTATTTTCTATGACTTTTATTGGTTATTTTTGTGCCTTACTTCTTTAGCTTTGTTTTTGTTATTATGGCTTCGACTTTCCTCCACGATTTCTTTTAGAAACGAAAGAAAGCGAGTCTATAAAATTGCATGGCAATCGAAAAGGTTCAGACCGGCATATATCGCGTGTGAATTTCCACTTTATCCTCGGAGTAAACACGGACTGTCGAAGAATACTTTAATTTTCCAGACTTTCGGCGCGGCTCAAAACTTACCCTTCCTATACTTCTAACTGTATCGTGTTTGATCTGAATTATTTTTGTAATTCGTACCAAGTTTGTTCTTTTTTGCAAGTCGGGTTACAAAGATTTTCAAACAAGTGCCTTGCAGCGTTGAATATTTGTGCCTAAACCGTACCTAAACCGTGCCTAAACTGTGCCCAAACTGTGCCTAAAATGTGCCTTAGCAATATTTAAAACGTGCCTTGACTGTGCCTAAAGTGTGCCTAATCTGTGCCTTGGCATGTTTTTTTCCCGTGCTTTGGCACAAAAACCGTGCCTTTTCTTGAGCGCGAATCGTGCATAAGGCACGGTGTTACGCTCGTGTACACCAGTAGCGTGCGCCAAGCCTCTACGCAAGCATGATGATCAATGATAACCTGAATGTCACAATTAGCTCTCCAGCCCTGAAGTTGAACTCTTTGATGGTTATTCAGTCG